CTACTCCGGAGCAAAACGGAACGTAAAGAAATGCTTCGTGTGCGTTGGTAACACGAACAGGGGAACTACCAAATACTGTTCTATTTGTCTGGTGCCGGTCTGTGCCACAAACAGGGAACCCATAGCCCTCACGTGCTGGCAGCTGCTGCACACACCTGAAGTTCAGCAGCGATTGTGACAGAAAGCCGTAAATCGCAACATCCGGCAGGCAGCTGAGTCACCGTCGATGAAGCGAAAGCGCGTCTCGGCTTTGAAGAAGAAAGTCAAATTGCGAGCCACTAAGTAAAAAGAAACCAAAAGTAATTGATTCTCCATAACATATAATGTAGCTTGCTTACTTCCGGCACACATATCCACCGCACAGAAACTACACTACAGAACTGCATCTTGCCAGCGCAACGACCCATTGTGCTGCCTCGGATTCGCACTGAAACATGAGTTATGGACATGGACCATGTGGCCCCATTCATTTCGAGCACTTCCAGGGCACATATTCACTACATTAAAGAACTACCACTGGCCAGTTGAACGCGCCGTTGTACTGCCACAGATTCACTCTACAGCCTGAGGTATTACATGGATGTTGCGGCCCCTTAGAGCCATCCAGTTTGAGCACTTCCAGGGAACACATACACTTCACACATATACTACATTAAAGAACTACCTCTGGCCGGTTGAACGAGCCATTGCGGTGCCTCAGATTCACTCTACAGCCTGAGTTATGGACTTGGACGTTCATTCCTATCGTATGCACTTTTATTCTACTGTATTCCTTGCCACCATCCGATTATTTATTACTCGTACCCCGGAATACGTTCAGCTGTAGTGTACGTACCAACAATTCAAATGTAATGCAATTCACTTTTTAGGTACCTTGAAGCGCATCCACCTCACTCGAGCCTGTACCTCTCTACCTCAACACATGAGCTGACAGGTGGCGTCTGTTATGTGGTTTTCAGCAAAATTTATGTGGCAGGAATGTGAACTCATATGCAATGGTCCCTATGCATTGCAGCATCATTCGAAGCGCGATATTTGGAGTTGACGGATGGCTAGGACCGGGCGCAGCGTACGACGCATGTATGATCGGACATGCGTCAATCTCCATCCACAGCTTTCGCTTCGCAAATAACGCGATTACTTCACACGGTGGATCCATCCTTGGAGGGCCCCCTTGGACACGGCTCAACATGCGCGATCGACATCGACCATCATTGCCACATCACCACGCTGCGCGCGCTATAGGCAGTTCGACGGCCTCCTAAGGCGTCAAATCGGAGGCAGCATTAGATGAGTGTGCATGAGGACCAAGAATCATACTAGTCCCGAATCGATGGAAGTTGGAAATGATGAAAACGGAGCATGCAACGGTTAGGAAAATTGGGATTTACCTCATCCCACGTAGTTACAAGATTTTGGAGGCTTTCCTTTTATGGGGGGGGCTCTTACACGACATCTATTTTGCCCCCCCCCCCCGATTTCGGCGTCATGATCCGCTTGATATCACATCTCCGAAATACTGTAGCATTTTATTCTAGATTCATGTATACGTAGAGGTTTTGTTCATTTCGACCGGGTTGGCGCCCAACCCGGGGAAGGATGTTGGTAAACGCCCCTTCCCACATTTTCCACCGGATACTAAGAGTGAGACGAATAAGGAAGAATTAATTTGAAGATCGTAGTCCCCGCTCAATTGATGTGTCCAATGGAGGTCCATGGGATTTACCTGTCGAATCGTATGTAATGCCTACATTCGGATAACCTTTTTAATGTAATGCATGCGACAAAGTGTTATGACTTCGAATAACCTTCATAAAATCATGCTTGCGAAAGGATGCCGTGTCTTCAAATAACCTTCTCAAAGTAATGAATGCATTACATGCAGAAAGATTTGAAAGCCTGCACCGTGAACAAGTGAATGTGATCATTCCGCCTGTTCAATACCGTCTTGCGTAATATGAGTCAGACAGCCATGTGACGTATCCGAATCCGCATAAAGTGCAAAGAGACACTGAAAATTTCTTTACGCTCCAGACAAACCATTTTCAATATCAAGGGTGATCCAAGCCACACAAACAAATACTACTAGTATATGGATTGTAAACAAAAACAAAATTATACAGGCTACCATTAGTGAAAGAACTTCCAAGGAATAAAAATATCCATGACGATACAAACACGAACATTATTATATACAAAATGTATTTGCAAATGTTACTTTCTATTCGCAGCAACGTCGGTGGTGCTGAAGTCCATCATCGGGTCGATTGATTCTTCAATCGCACACGTCTCCATCAGAGCTGCCAACACATCGTTCTCATCAACGCCCTCACCAATGTCTTCACTCACAGGTACTCCATCCATGAGACGGCACTTCTTGAAACCGTTGAGAATTGTAGATGTTTCAGTGTCGGCCCATGCAATTGCGACCCAAGACACAATGGTTTCGCGCGACAGAGGGACCAGTTTGAACACGGCGCCACGCTGCTTGGACCGCACCAGTTGGTGACGAATCATGTCCAGCCAGATTTGACGCAATCGCGCTTTCAAAGACCGATTCCAGGCCACATCAGTAGGTTGGCAAATCCACGTGTAGTTGGGGGGCACACGTTCCAAAACGACATTTAACTCCTTGGCGTAGGCAGTCACCTCGTCGGTGAAGTGAGCCGAAAAGTAATCCCAGATGAGCATGACCTACTTGGTGGCACGGTCGGGTCTCTGGCTGAAGTGATACTTCAGGAATGCATCGAGATTGACCCGTTTCACCATGCTGTAGGGTTGCCATGGATCACAACACCGTTCGAATCTTGCATGGTTCAACACTCCCCCACAGCCGCTTGCCAAAACCCTGTTGCATGGTCAGGTTCTCTTGTATAACGGCTTTGATTTTGGACTTCGGCGTTCGAAGGACCAAAAACAACGTGTGTTTGGTGCCTGTATTGTCCGCCAACAGCATGTCCGTCATGCGGTCCTTGGTCTTGCCTCCACACTTAACCCACACGGTGTTCTCGCCCTTCTTGTTCAGGGTCTTGGTTGGCAGGTACTCAGATTTGACTGCTGTTTGGTCTGCATTGTAGATTACGTCGATGTCGTAACGCTATACGATCTCATGCACGCGCTTCGCGAAGGCCTCCAAGACATCAAGGCCATCATCGGGTGTCTGTTGACCGATGCGCGTTCGAGCTCGAAGGGACAAGCCATGCCGGCGCTTGAATCCGTCGACCCAGTGCCAGCCGGCACGAAACTCGTCTTCCTTCAGCCCAAGATCGATGAAAGACTCCAGCATCATGATTCGGAGCATACTGTACGTCACCGGAACCCCATCCGCTCGCATTTCTTGTACCCACTGAACGCGTTGCCCTTCGGCTTTCGTCGTCAGCGTCATTCCGGTTCCAAGCTCACGCTGACACTTCTTGGTTGCCGTTCGGGGGTTAGACGCCATGTAATCAATCACAACACCATTTGATATCCATGAGTAGGTCAGCTTGCGCTTAGTCTCTCGAGAGTCTGGGGCCAACCGTCCACACATGGCATCCAGTGTTAGTTGCCCGTAAAAATAAAGCAAAACCCATAGCAGAATATTCAACATTATAACCTGAAACTAATTCAGCTTCAGCTTCTGGTAAATCAAAAGGATGTCTATTAGTTTCAGCTAAAGACAATAAAGGTACACAATACCAAATTTTTTGTTGACTTAAAACTCATTCCATGCAGCTCGTAGTGATCAATGGCCGCCTTGTGTTCGCGGTAGTCAGACACAGTGTTCTTGTTCTGTTTTGGGAGCTTCTTCGGCCAGTTCTTGAAGGCTGGGCGGCCAGTTGAGGGTCCTCTAGCGGCTCGAGGAGCATCCGAAATGTCCATGGGTGTTGCCAATTACTTGTGAAATGACCTGTTCGACTTTCAAAGCGTTTGCCGCCTTGACGAGCCAAAACCGAGTCTAAACTAGAGTAGATATTACATGCTGGAGGATATAATGGCGCCGATGGAGAGCCTGTATATATGAATTTTTGCCTGAGGCCAAATAATATTAAAGGTAACAGGTGTCTGACTGAAATAAGCGTCCGACACGTATTACGCTACGCAAGTGGTACAAACAGTAGTACTCACCGAGTTAACAGTGGTATAAATCCTTAACGTTTTTCAGCTTAATTTGCATGGTATTCAGCTTTCCTTATTAAAGAAACTTGGCTGTTGCGGGACTCGAACCCTCAACCTCCCGGTTATTAGCTGGGTGCTTTACATTTACTGTTAGCTATAGTGAAGTGCATATTGCATTTACAGTTACTATTATTAATAATAGTAGTTAACTTTAAAAACTAGGAAAAAATAGATATTCTACGTGGAATTTGAACCTTCAACCTCCGACTTACTAGCAATGCGCTGTCCCTTCACGCCTACGCGCGATACATGTTTGCGATTATTACCATGATATAAAATTGTTAATGGCTTTGCGGTTTCGACAGCCACGCATGGCGATGCAAACCTATGGTGCAGGTCGTGATGAACGCGTCTAACGTTATGCATAACAAACACCTCTACTACATGCGAACAAGGGTAAGTGTCATGAGTACTTGTAGTATGGCGGTGTGTATTGTGGTTATATACTAGTATGCTGCCGCCGAGTTTGAGCTACTCATCTGTATTGCGCTCACTGGTATTTTGAGTGCAAGGACTGCTGCTTTCTTGCACGCAAAATATCAGCAAGGGAATGGCACAACCGGTACCGTATGAGTGCTGCGTACATAAGAATGGCACATAGCCAACACAACGAAGCTTGTGTGTGGAATTGTCAATACTGTAGCCTAGGTGCGAGTTATCAGTAGCTGTTGGTTATGTGTGCGTCAACTTTATGTTGGTAGCGGTGCACGCAGTGTCGTGTACCCACTGCTGATTGTATAGGATACTAGTATTAACAACATGGTGAAGGTTTGTGAGATGTGATGCGTGAATGTGACAAAGGTGGGTGGAATACGACAACAATTGTAACATTTAGCATTTTTCTTGGCGGTTCTTCGTTAATCAAGAAATTTGATGGGGAATTTCACACCCGACATTAGCATAAGTCCGTGGTTGATACCTTAGTTCACGACACTAACGTTACCATAAGAGCGTAGTTGATACAGTACCTTAGTGTTAGCATGTACTAGTACCAGATAAGTTTTGATACGCATAGTTTTTAGCCACTTCCCCTATTAATCTTGGCCGTATGCCAACGCAAGTGTGTAGTTCGGGGGGGTTATTGCGCAGTAGTATGCGTAGCAATATACTGCCACCTACGGCTTGTTTCTAGGTATTCGATCCTCGTTAATTGAAATGCACGGATTTCGGTACTTCGAGTCTCGACGGAGCATTTGTACTTCGCTACACTACCGTACTGGTCTTACATAATATCGAATTCAGTACTACCGTAATTGATGTGTGCGGGGCATGGATGACGCGGCGGATCCCTTTATTGTCAGAGGACATTTCTTTGTAGTAGTGGTTTGGTAGAACTAGCGAGGTAGCTAGTATTACTGGTCTAGTCTAGAAAGGTTCTAGATTTGGGCCTATGTGATTGGGGCTTGGATTGTTGGTTATCCTACCCCTCTGCACATTTGGCTGTTGGTAGCAGTCAGTTTGGAATTCACCACTAGTTAATCAAGTGCCTCTCTCCTCAACTGAGCTCTGCTGTCGTTGCTGCCCGGGAAACACAACAGTAATGCTACTCCGTACTACCGGTAGTACTAGTAGTTGTTATAAATCAACATGCGTACAATCATGTTTACTATTTCGAAGAGCGGTCAATATTACTTCTACATATGCGTCTGGCAAAGGCTCATGAGGCAACTATCGGTACTAATAATGATATCCTCGGACCTTTTGGTATCGACCGAGCCTCTGTTCGACTCCCCGTGCCTGAGTGTGGGTAGCCGAATGTTGGTCACGCACGACATTTGAAGAGTGTGACATAAGACGTGAATCTGGAGAGGCATATGTTCCCAGCTGATGGTACACTGTGATGACTTGTAGAGAGTATTGAAGTGAAAGAAGGGAACTGACTGATTGACTGGATATTGAAGTTAGTTACTTTTGGATTTGTCATCGAAGTCACCGTTTTGAACACGGTAGTCGTAGGTTGCAAACACCGGCGCAAGAAAACAAAGAATTCTTCAGCTGTCTTACAGACATGCTAGCGACTGAACGCACGTAGTTCCCTGGAACAGGAAACGAGCATGCCTTGGACGTGGGGCTACCTTGTAGCGACCACGGGGACTCTGTGCGAGGTCGATCCCGGTCGGATCGCTCGAAGAGTTCTGCGGCCCCTGCACCGAGCGTGGACCGCTTTGATGACCATGGAAGGACCCGGACCAGTGCGACTGCGCGGCGGCTGTTCCGGTCACCACAAAAAAGGCGACAACTGGTAGCGGTTGATAAGGCCTGAAGACACGTTTGCGGCACCCGCGTTTGGCGGCACATCTGGGACGGTTCCCGGACTTACGCCGGACTAGGAAGATGTGGATATGGGACAGAACGACGTGCACCTGCACAACGCGCCGGCCCTCCCGAAGAACCCGACGTTCAAGGGATTCCCCAAGGAAGAACGACGCGATTTTATGCCCGTGTACAATTGTATATCGGCCTGACGAATACACTGAGTGCCAACGGGGTCCAACCGCTCATCATGCCCGTGAGGGCGTGTATCGAACCTGCGACAAAGTAACGTATTACCGAATGGGACATGGGAAAACATCCTGATGACGTGTTCGAGGGCGAATGGATTGCATGGTTCAAGCAAGGTTACGACGTCGATTCATGGGCCCTAGACACCTTCAAGAAGCGGATCAAATCTGCTGTTGATCTTGATATGTCGGTCCCAGACGCAGATTCCCGGATCGGATGTATGCTGGATGGTGTGGCTGCGGCTATCCGTCGGGACCGCCAGGAGTGAGTGATCCGGGAAGAGAGCCAGACGATCGTGAAGATCATCACGGATGCCGTCAAGCCTGCGTCGCTACTCCGTGCTGTTACCGAGCAGATAGCGTTGATGCGAAATAACCTTTGAAGAATGATGTGTACCGTTTCGTGCGCTGATTGTAGGAATATGCGATCGGTCACGAGCGCTTTGTGGGTTACGAAGAAGAGTTGAAGCCACCTGCGAGACCAGACCTACCTAAGCCGCCCGGGTCGAAGGTCCTGGGAGGACCCAGGGGCCCGAGGGGAGACGCGAAGCCCCTGATACCTGTTCCGAACACCCGGGTATCGTGGAGCGCCTGTACCCAGTCGCGCCAGCGGACTTGGAACATCAGGTAGTCCTACTCGACCAACATCGCCAATGAAGTCTAAGAGGCTTCTACTTTTAACCAATCAGATTGTTGTCGGTTATACTACTGTATTTTGGTTGGATTCGTCAAAACTATCGAAGGTTGAACGGCCAATCAGGCTTGAAATTGAATCTATATGATGAAGTCTGATTGGCCAACTTCAACTAATCCAACCAACCGTACTGTTATTGAAAAACATATTCTGATTGGCTATGAGCAACACTAGAGCCGGCATCGACTCAAAATAAAGTTTGCGCCGGTTTCTGAAGTCCTACTTCAGAAACCGGCGGCGCAAACTTAGTACAGAACCGCGCCATTAGGGAGAGTCAATATAGAAATCATCTTGCTTTTCAAAAAAAAATCTGCTTTTCAAATTTTGCTTTTCAAAACGAAATGCAAAAGCAACTTGAACCTGTGAACAAGCCAATCAAATAATTAATAGAAACAACCAATCAGGCCAGTGGAAAGTACTTGAGCAAGTCAATTTTCAGAAGCGAGCATGGAGCAGGCGAAGCGAGAACGACAAAGTCGGAGAGTTTGGCAATGCTAGCATTTCTCCGTATACCAGAGAACCATGCTCTATTGACAGGGCAAGCGAACAAGGGCAAGACAATGAATAACACGTTTAGTGTAAAGATGAACAGTCCCAATCCCAATTCCTTTTGCTCGTGACACCATCCCTGCGGACGAACCAGTGCCATTATGGCCGATGCGGTGCAGTGCGCAGGCAAGCTGTACCCATACCGGTCGTTGAGCTCTATTGCTCGTCGGTTGAAAGATGGGATTCAGTTCAATCAACTGAACAATATATGTAAATGTGCTCTGCAGGTAGCAAGAGTTCGTACCATCCTATCCAAGTCGACAAGGACTGCTGCTCTCTCAATGAAGTGATCTATGCGGATACGGATAGCGGTTGCGGCTGAATCATTGGCCTACCGTATACCGAAATCTGTCTAATTATGGATTTGTACCCCCGAAAATGTCAGTAAAATCTGATCGAAATGGATACAACTCAATAAGGTGGTCTGATTTATTTCCAATGCGTTCGGATTGGTTACTTCTACTACCTACTACTTCGACTTGT